GAAGAGGCTGTGAGCAATGCCATGAATATATTTCTAGACTCCCTTTAAAGTCTTTCACTCTTTATTTTTAGTGTTTGTCCATGAGTGATACTTAAAAGGTAATCCAAACCTTGATGATGTTTTAAAAACTTTTACATACATGGCATATTGATAAGCAGTGAATTCAGTTATGAAAACTTAATGATGCCCAAACTCTTTAAGGTATAAAACTTCAAAAGGACAACAATTCCTGAATTTGGGGCCCAGAGCTATATTCTTGAAGGTACACAAAGCTGAGATACACTTTTGTGAAGTCTAGAGGGGGGAAAAGGATTAAAAATATATAAAGGCAATAGGGAAGCTGTGCCTCAAAATATGTAAGTGGCTGCCTGGAGGCACAAGGCAAAGGACTAGTAGCATTTGGGAATATGAATAAGAGACAGAGAGGTTGAGAAATATTACTGTTAAATATTACTGTTAATATTACTGTTAAAATACCTAAGTCAGAAAAATTGGCTTCCTGAAAAGGAAAATTTAAAAAAGTAGTTGGATGTCCTCAAATTGCTAAATATTCTTCAGTTAAGTGTACTATTCTATCTTTTATAAAGTAAAAGCAAACTAAATGCAAATAAAAATGTTGTCAACTAAAAAACACTTCTTTGGTCTTTTTAGTTGTAAGCAGAAAGGGAGAGGGGAAAGCAGTGCATTCCTTGAAGGCTTCAGATAATCTCTTTGGAAACCGAACTTTCTGGCACGCAAAATTATTACTGGAGAGCATGATTGATGACTCTTGGCTATGGATGTGTCTCATTGGAGAATATACATGCAAGGTGGGGTGAAGACCAGGATCAAGGGTGAAATAAATGCATGTCAGAGTCCTGACAAATGTTTTAAATGGAGGAGGTGTGGATGGCCAACTCAAGTATCTTATTAAGAATTTAAGATCTGGTTTCATTTGTATTGCTTAACATATTATTTTAGTTGTAGGTTGTAAGTTGCCCAAGGTTTCGCTTTAGGTATGTAGCAATTATCAGCTGATAAACTCTGAGTACAGGAAGACAAAAATGATTTAGGAAGAGTAACTAAGTGTCTGACTTGAAGGGCAAAAATAAATTCTACCTTGGAAATCACTGGAAATAAAAAAGAAAACTCTCTTTGTTGTTATGTTTGTTGCAAGAGAATAGTGCATCTTCACACAGCTATAAAAATTCTCATAATGGCATTTCCAAAAGGGTATTTAAAAATATAAAATCTATGCATAACAATATTGAGTTTAATTTTTCTGACTCAATAGCATTTTAACTACTAGCGATTAAAATATGTGTCACATTATACTTAGTCTTAGAATAACTTTATTGTCACTTTACTAATTGGCATACATTAAAATGAAATTTCGTTGCATACAGCTCTCAGAGTCACCACGTCCAATATACACTACATAAACATGACTAAATAAATAAATAAATACACACATGCCCACATATCCACATATATTATATGACACAGAAACAACACAGTCTAGTTCAGATGTATAAATGGTGAGAAAGATACATTCTCATCCGACAAAGGAAATACAAACACTAGTTTCCACACTTCACTAAGGGTCATGTGTGGAGAGACCAATTCAGATTCTTAGCTATCTGCACCACCAGATACTTTATACTGTAGACCACCTCTTCAGCTGAATCTTTGATAATGAGTGGAGTATGACTATGCTGGCTCTTTTTAAAATCTACAATGATCTCCTTTGCTTTATTAACATTTGGAACCAGGTTACTTTTATTGCTATCATTAGTTGACTTTAACCGCATGGACAGAGTTTAATTTATTAGTACCATTCATTCGCCTTTCATTACATGCAGGCAATGCATCTAGTGTATTTGTGACACATATTGCATTTTATACATCTGAGCCGTTTCCATTTATCAACTGGAAAAGAAGTTTAACTTTGTGGTAGATCATATTCTTTGTATGAAGAAGTTGCCAGCATCACACCATGGCAGATATTGTGGAAATCTTTTGGAAGCTGTGAATAATTATTGCACTTGGCAGTGACTATACAGTACTAAACTGCAGGGAACTCTGGTCAGAGTTGATGGGAAGTTCTTTCAAATGTTCATAAGAAATACCAGGCAGCTGTAAATAAGAAATCTACTATTATAGACTACAGTGGATTTTTTTTTAGATAAATCAATAACTCCAAAGGTTACAGTTTATAACAGATTTCTCACCTTTTCATGATGCCTTTTGATATAATATAGTTAGATTTCAGCAAAGCATTCGACAAAGTAGACCACAACCTACTTCTTAGTAAGCTAGAAAAAAATGATATAGATAGCACCACCACTAGATGGACTCGCAACTGGCTGGCAAACCATACTCAATGAGTAGTCCTTAATGGGTCTAAGTCTACATGGAGGGAAGTAAGCAGTGGTGTGTCACAAGGTTCAGTCTTAGGCCCAATACTCTTCAAGATCTTCATTAACGACTTGGATGAGGGAATAGAAGGGGAACTTACCAAATTTGCAGATGATACTAAGTTGGCAGGAATAGCTAACACCCAAGAAGATAGGCTCAAGATCCAGATGGATCTTGACAGAATAGAACACTGGGCCTTATCTAACAAAATGAAATTCAATGTAGAGAAAAGTAAAGTCTTACACTTAGGCAAGAAAAACCAAAAGTACACATATAGACTGGGTGAAACCAGGCTCAATAGCAGTAACTGTGAGAGGGATCTTGGAGTCTTAGTGGACAACCAGCTAAATATGAGCAAGCAGTGTGCAGCCGCCGCCAAAAAAGCTAATGCAATCCTAAGTTGTATTAACAGAGGGATACAGTCAAGATCAAGGGAAGTACTAATACCACTTTATAAATCCTTAGTAAGACCACACCTAGAGTACTGCATCCAGTTTTGCTCACCACATTATAAAAAAGATGTTGAGACTCTAGAAAAAGTACAGAGAAGAGCAACCAGGATGATTAGGGGACTGGAGACTAAAACATACAATGAACGGTTGCAGGAACTGGGCTTGGCTAGTCTAGTAAAAAGAAGGACCAGGGGAGACATGATAGCAGTCTTCCAATATTTGAGGGGCTGCCACAGAGAGGAAGGGGTCAGGCTATTTTCTAAAGTGCCTGTAGGCCAGACAAGGACTAATGGATGAAAACTGAACAAGGAGAGATTTAACCTGGAAATAAGGAGAGAAACTTTCTGACAGTGAGAACAATCAACCAATGGAACAGCTTGCCCTCGGAAGTTGTGGAAGCGCCATCACTTGAGACTTTCAAGAAGAGATTGGACTGCCATTTGTCAGAAATGGTGTCGGGTCTCCCGCTTGGGTGGGGGGTTGGACTAGATGACCTACAAAGTCCCTTCCAACTCTGATTATCTGTTAACATATATTCTGAAAGTTAGTTTTTTTAGCTGTATCTAGTGTAGAAATACACTGTGGTTTTAGATTAATCCTTATATCAGCTTTAAACCATATTTCAACCAGAGTACATACAATAAAGTCTGTTGAATTTCACTGTAGATTATTAGTGTACTGCATCTCCTTTTCTGAAGCTTTAAAAAGCCTCATAAAATAGGTTCAACTTTGTAAACAAAATTCAGTCCCCTGCCTCTCTAACTTCACTCTTGCTATTAGAGGAGTGATTGCATCTAATATTAAAAATAAACAGGAAACTGTAAAATACGTACTTGGAAGTAGTTGACCATCATTATAGTGAAGTCCAATTTAGGATACATGCTCTCTTTATTAAGCCTGTGATGGTGCAGTAGTTAGAATACAGTATTGCAGGCTCACTCTGACCACAGCCAGGAGTTTGATCCTGACTGGCTCATGGTTGACTTAGCCTTCCATCCTTCCAAGGTTGGTATAATAAGGACCCTGATTGTTGGAGCCAATATGCTGATACTGTAAACCGCTTAGACGAATCCGTAGAGTACTTTGAAGTGGTATATAAATCTAAGCTCTATAGCTATGTGCTATTAAAAATATATCTATCCTTCCCAGAAAACATTTTTCAATCAGTAGCATTCTCGATAAGAAAAGATGGAAGGAAGGAGGAAGAGGAGGAGGTAATTAAAAGAAACCTAAATGATTACATAAATAATTTGAATTTATATATTACTGCAGCTTCACACACATATTCATATACAGACAAGTAAATAATATATATTCAGTGAAAATTATATTACTGCTTTTCAGATTTTTTAGTGACCTTTCCAAAGGCCAAATGTTCAAGACTGTATATGCTTTCTTGGAATCTGGTGCAAGATTCCCTTGCAGTATGACATAATTATGTCTTTTTCACCAAAAATGGTACAGTAATTTCCTTTAAGAAATTAAAAAAGAACAAAGAATTAAGAAACCATATTTATAACAAACACACAGTTCTAAATCAAAAGTATAAATTAGATCTTGAAAATCTTTACTTTTTATCTTCATCATTAGCAGTGTACACAATATATGGATCTCATAGTTTTTGAAAATAAATTGTTCATGTCTTCTTATTTTAATTCAAAACAGTATATAGAAAGCAACCCTTTCTAGACATGCCTCTATGTAAGATCTTGAGTAAGTAATTATTATTTCAAAAATATGTATATTTGCTTTAGAAAAGCTAACATATTTTGGAATGCAAATATATCCTAAAAGGTAAGTTGTTTAAAGGAAGTGAAAAACATTTTATTTTGATAATATCCCTTTTCATATTTCTTGAAAATGAGTAAAAAATCCCTTTCCAAATTTTATATTACAGTTCCTACCCAATCTCACAACATCTAATATGTTTTATTACTGCTTAATGCAACTGTTTGCGGCCAAAGGGTGTCCATTCTATGATCATGCCATTTCAAATTCTTATCTGAGATAGCTATACATAATATGGATGGTACACCTCTTAAATATAGCAGTGCCTCAGCAGTGAAATGTTTATTTCTATGAATTATCTAGCTGTCATAGGAAGATCATTGTGACAGTCTTGTGATATTAATCTCTATTCTTTATTGACAGATGGAAAGGTTGAAGTTACAAAAGAAGGAGTAAAGCTGTGCACTATGGGGCCTGGGAAGGTGTTTGGAGAACTGGCTATCCTATACAACTGCACTCGGACAGCTACCGTCAAAAGTAAGATTATTTGAAATATTTAATCACGAAGAATTGTTGACAAATCCTGGTAACTGGATATCTTCCAGTTACTTATTGGTGTTCCTGTTTTGAAAAGAAACAAGAGGTCCACTTTTGTACTGTTTTCATCCATGGGTTTTTTCCCCTTTCAGTTTTGTAAAAAGCATATGAGGATTGTGTTGTGTAAATTAAGGGTCTGTATGTCACACTTATTTATTTATTTGCTCATTAATTCAACTTATATGGCTGCCAGATGATTCTGAATGGGCATAGGTTTAAACACCAAATACAAAGGAAAGTGATAAAATCATAAAGCATAACAAAATAAAACATTGGAAATCAGAATATTATTTGTTTATTTACAACTGGCTAGCACTTGAGTGAAGAACAGTTTTCAGGGCCTTTTTAAAGGGCCAGCAGTTTGAGGCCAATGAAATTTCAAACAATATATAATGAACACAGCTTAGACTAGCCGTATTGTGTTGTATAGTTCAAGTTCACCCAATAATTTTTCCATGCTTCTATTGTCTCAAAAACTTCCACCGCTAAAGCTGTTGTTTTCTATCCAAAATAGGACAAATAGGAAAATAAAAGAGGTATACAGTAGTAGATGAAATCAAGGAACTGGTAGAAAACAGAAGGCTGTGCAGTTGGAATTGTTGATTAGCTCGTCATATCTTATATTCACTTTAGTAGCTCTTTCTTGTACTTAGGGCAAACAATCTTTCCAACAACGGTTCACATTTATTGTTTGTCATTGTTCCATATGTAGTATTTCTCACACCAAACACCTTCATGCTTGGTTTTCTTTAGGATGTTGTCTTATGCATAATTTTAGAACCACAGTTACTCTTTCCTCGTTAAAGTGGTGAGGACAGAAATGATACAGGTAGTCCTTGACTTACCACAGTTCATTTAGTGACCGTTCAAAGTTACAACGGCACTGACAAAAATGACATATGACCATTTTTTCACACTTATGACCATTGCAGCACCCCTTGGTCACATGATCAACATTCAGATGCTTGGTAACTGGTTCATATTTATGATGGTTGCAGTGTCCCGGAGTCATGGGATCTCCTTTTGCGGTCTTCTGACAAGCAAAGTCAACGGGGAAGCCAGATTCACTTAATAACCATGTTACTCACTTAACAACTGCAATGGTTCACTTAACAATGATGACAAGGAAGGTTGTAAAATGGGGCAAAACTCACTTAACAAATGTTTCACTTAGCAACTGTGGTCGTAAGTTGAGGACTACCTGTATTTTCTTGAAATGAGAAATTCTGGAATAAAACTAGGCAATTTTTAATTTGTAATCTTCCCCACTCCATGCCTTGTGGGGATTTTAAACCCTTGACCTGTCTTCTACTATAAGCAGTGCCTTCCTGCATTATATGGTTTGGAATGTTAACAAGTGACTTCAGTTTAATTTATCTTGCTCATTAATGCATAAATAAGTGAATGGTAGTCATGGTTGTAATTAGTTTTATTTCCTTTCCAGACTGCTTTGACAGGGAGGGACACTTAGTTAGCACTTGGAAGCTTTTCAGCAAGATCTAGATTGAAGACACTAGGTTTCTTTCAAGTCCCAAGTGCTATTTAAGAAGTATTATTGACTAATAAATTTCAATTATTACTGTTACTTCTGAAGCTCTGATTGGAACATCTGCTTGTACTTCTGTCTGCATGATAATTCAATTTATTTGTTGGCACTCAGGAAGGACAGATGTTAGGAGGACTGGTAATGGTATAAAAATAAGGATAATGTGAAGTGTTCACTTTTTAAAAGAAAACTTGAATATACAGTACTTGAAAAGAGCATTAGTTCTGATGGAGCCCTTTCCTTCCTTAATGCTTACTTAAGCCATTGTTAGATAAATTAAAACTCTTCTTTTAATCTTACAGAATTGGTGATGAATTAATTCTTTTTCAGTTGGAGGTTGTAGCTTTGGGTAATATTATTTCATGATCCAAAAGCATGCAAGTAAGAAAAAAACCTTATAAAACACTTTAAACAAGAGAACACTATTCAAAATATCACGAACAAAACTCAGAAATTATCATCTTAGTAGCTCAAACTAAATGAGTTTCAAAGGCCTTTTAAACCCCAGAATCGATGGAGCTGAATTTATATATCTGAGCAGATATTTCTTGAAAATTCTATATTACTGGCTGTTCCATCTTGAAAATGGCCCATATTCAGTGTCTCCATGACTGATCTTAAGACCCAAGTAAGTGCATTTAAAGTACATATATACTTGTGAGTCTTCAAATAAAGTGCTTCTAAATAATTAGCCATAATGGATAGATTTATTTTATTTAGCGGCCACCAAGCTTCATCAAATTCTATGACTTACAAGATTCAAAGCAATAAAACAATGAGAACAAATCTTATGTGCAACTGGGAGACAGAAGGTACTCAACTGAATAAAATATTCTACAAGATCAGGAATCAGCCAGGTTTACAATGCCTTGTGAACATCATCAGGGTGTAAGACATATGGCTTTCCCCAGGGGATACTATTTCAGTACTCCCTCCTGTCAATTTTCAGAAGAAAAGGAAGTTTCATTTCTTTGAAGAAACAGTCTTTTAGCATCTAGGAAAAGAGAAGTACTGTAGGCTGGGTTCTTTGTCTTGTTCACTGTTTAATCAATACACCTTTTAAAAACTGGTATTTTACTTAATAGTCTTGTTTTCAATGTTCTATTTATTTATAACAAATCAACCAAGACATGTCTAAAGTAACTACTACTAACTTAAAATGACCATATTGAAGCAGTTTATATAAGCTTCTTCAAACAGAAAGAAAGGAGAATATCGATCATGAATGTATTAATTTAAAATTTATTCAAGTATCTTGCTACTATCATAGTAGTTTGCAAATTTAAAGCATTGTATTAAATCCTGCGATTCTTTCAAAATTGAATTTGGATCCTGGTTACGATAGGATGTTATTGCCAGCAGTATGAAACAGGTTTTTGAGGGATTTGATGGCTACTATTTTTTTCCATTGGAAAAAAAGCTACATAATGGTGGGGGCAGGGACAGATGTTAAAAAGGGGTGGGTATTTGATCACATGATTGAAGATACCTTCTTGACTTTTTTGACTTCTCTGAAACTGTTTGCAAATTCTCAACGTTTTTTGGGTCACTGCCTTCTTAGTTGTACTAAGTGTTTTGTAACACCCTGCCCTGTGTATATGTGATATACTAAAATTATTGTGCAGCTTACATTTTCCTGAATTATACAGTTGCGCTAATACCCAGTGCAGTTGTATTAGTCACACAGTCAGCACGTGGTTAAAGTGTAATACTATTCTGAGCATTCCAATGTTTGATATATTTATAATTGTGATTAATTTACAGTTTTTATGTTTACAGTTTTATATACCTAACAACATTTGTTGGATAAATTATGTGTGATCTTCTATTACTATTATATTAATTGCCCCTTTTTGTCCATCTTCTGCCACTCTCTTAATAATGTGTATGGATAATTCAAATGCCCCCCACCACAGGGTGGTATCACCCACTTTGAGACATACTATTCTATAGGCCAAGGGTCTTCAAACTTGGCAAGTTTAAGACTTGTGGACTTCAACTCCCAGAATTTCTAAGCGAACATGACTGGAGGAGGAATTCTGGGAGTTGAAGTCCACAAGTCTTAAAGCTGTCAAGTTTGAAAATCCCTGCAGGCAGTTAACAACACTACCATTATTCATTAGAGTAAACATTTATATTAAAATATATTCAGAAACACCAGTTGTAGACTCATTAACTTTTTAAATTATAACTTTATCAATCTCTAAAAAATCAGACCAGAAGGAAAGATATGAGGAGATGATCACCATAATGGAAATATTGTTTCCTTTTGTTTAGAAGAAAACACAAAAAGAGGGGGTTATTTTGTTCATGAATGCTAGTTTATACAGGTGCTAGTTTATAAGGAGTCATATATGGGTAGTCCTCAAATTACAACAATTCGTTTAATGACTGTTCAAAGTTACAACAACATTGAAGAAATGACTTATGACTGTTTTTCACACTTATGACCATTGCATCATCCCCATGGCCATGTGATCAGAATTTGGATGCTTAAGCAACTGGAAGATATTTATAACTTTTGCGCTGTCCAGGGTCATGTGATCATCATTTGTAACCTTCCCAGTTGGCTCTGACAAACAAAATCAATGGAGGTAGCCAGATTCACTTAATAACCACATGATTAATTTAATAACTACAATGAGTGTGGTTAACAACTGTGGTTAAAAACAAGTTTATGAAATGGGGAAAAACTCACTTAACAATTGCCTTGCTTAACAATGGAAATTTTGCGCTCAGTTGTGGTCAAAAGTAAAGGACTACCTGTACTATTTATGAAATAGTATATTTCTCTTTTATTTGAGCTGAGGATGATGACCCTAGTTTACAACTCTATATTTTATTCTACTTTTAATTCTTAATTCCTTGTTGGAAATGTTTTTCTAAAGCCATTTTTAAATGAATTAGAGGTTGATGTGTTTGTTATGTGATAATATTATATAATTTGGATATATGTCAAAAAAGTAGATGGCTCTGAAAGATTTAATGCCAATTCTTCAAAGTTTGTCAAGGGTGTCTTGATATGAGCCTTTTATTTCTAAATTAGGAAGATGGGATCTCAAAATGTAATTGAAATAGCCAAGCACATTTTGAACAAGTTAAAACTCATTAATTCTGAACTTTAAATTAATTGTGGAATGATAGAAATCCTTCAGTCTGTATAATTTCTGATAAATCTTTGGTTTCTAAAATGTACTAACAGATATACTGTAGGAAATTTCACCTGGGTAAAAATAGAAATAAAAGGAGAACCAAAAAAAAGGAGATAATCAGATTTTGAAGTTAGCACTCCAAAAAGGATTGTTATGGGTTTTAAATCCTTAAATAGTATCCGATAAGAATGAGAAGTTTTGAGTATTTAAGAGTACTCTTCCGAGTTTTCACAGTCTTGCTA